CTTACCCACTTGGTTACTCTGTGTCCAGAGTGACTCTGTGCCGGGTCCTTTGGACTCATCCCTGTGTCCCTGGCACTGCAGCTGTCGCTTCCCTGCTGGACGGACACCCTGGCGCCAGGGACACCGCATCACTGCATCCTCTAAGCTGCCCAGAGTGAACCCCAAAGGCCCAGCTGGTCCCCACACCCCCACGCCAGGCCCCGTCGGTACCATGCACGGCTCCCGCCGGTTCTGCAGGCAGCGGCCTCAGTGTGTCTGCAGCTCTCGGGCCGGGTCAGTCCTGGCCGCCACACTGGTCCCTGTGCGCCGGCCCGGCTCCCCCAGACTTTGCTGGTCAGTCCCTTCCCACCACGCGTGTCCCCCCTACGCCTGCCAGCTGGGAGAGGAAGCCTCTCCCTGACCACCACTCTGCTAGAGTGACCCCACCCACGTCAGACCCGGTTCCCCACATTCTCTCCGCAGCGCCCCTCCCCCCATGCCATGGCCCTAAGCAGGGAGTGGTGTTTCCGAGAACACGAACATGCAGGTCCCCGCGCAGGGACTCTGTCCGTCCCAGCTGTCCGCGCCCCTGAGCCACCTGGGCCGGACAACTGGGTCCAGCACGCGGTGACCGCTCAGTTAAGGCGGAGACGGGAGGCCGAGGGCGGCGGAGGGGAGGGACCCCGGTGGAGCCACACGCCCACGGCCACCTGCCACGCCTGCCCGGGGACGCACACCAGACCACGTCCTTTCACCAAGGACACGCCATCTCGCATTTGTCCTGTGACTTTGGAAATAGGCACTTGTGTGTTTGAGTTCTCGGACCGCAATTTCTGGAGTGACAGGGGTGTGTCTCGCTTATGTGTCTGTGATGCACGAAAGATGCTCAGTAAAGGCTTCCGAACGATTTCTTCAAAGGGACCCCCGGGCTCCTCTGCGTGTGACTCACGTGCCATTTGCTCTGTGGGACGGCAGGGGACAGTGTGGACTCGGGGCCCGAGCAGCCCTCGGCCCCAGGACGGCTCCCGCGGTGAAGCGGAGGGAGCCGCAGCCCACACACACCGGCGCTCACTCAGCGCACACTTGGCACCGCCGGTGTTTGCTACAACATCCTGGAAAAAACGTGTTTTGATGATTCCCTAGAGATTTTCATGACTCACGCGAATTGCAAAGTCTATGCCTCCACACCCAGCTCCCAGCTGCATCTGTGGTGTGAGAGGATTTTATTTCACTTTTATTACTTCAAAATACGAGGGCAAAACAGTAAGCGCCACAGTTTTCTCGCTGGGCCCCTTGCACCTTCCCACACCCGACGGCGTCACGACAGAGGAAAATCCACTTAGATGACATGTACAGAACCTCTCTGCCCACAACTATTCAAATTATCCACTTGAGGCTAATAAAAATCTCTGATTTTACAAAAGGAACTTTTATAATTCATGTGAGTCGATGATATATTCCACCCACAGCCGAGAGAGGAAAAAGAAAAAGCTGGGGGAAGGTAGTTTTCAAAAGCATCTCCAACGAAACTCCTCTGGAATTTTTTGTGCCTGTATCTTCCCTAATATAGAGAAAGAGGAGAGAGTCCGGGGAGGGAGCAAGAGCCCCGAGTGGCACGGGGGCCGCGGAGCCCCACTCCACCCCCGGAAATGCAGAGCGGGCCGGCCATGCGCTGCTGGGGTCCTTGGTGTGAGCGCAGAGGGGGGCCGGGCATGGAGGCACCGCAGGGCGGACCAGGGCGGCCGTCTGGGGCACGGCGGTCCTTGTCATGCTGCTGTGCTCCCACAGGAGGGCACCAGCCATCGCTCTGGACCCCCACCTGATCCCATCAGCCAGGTCCTTCTCCCAGCACCAGGCCCATTGGGGAGAGTCGGCGCATCGGGGAAGATGTCAGAGGGAAGGGCTTTGGTCCAGTCACTCGTGGGCTCCCTGCTACCCTCAGCAAAGCGTCCCATCTTTGCTGCCTCGGTTTCACCCCCCAAAGCCCAGCGGGAAAGGAGGCGCCCCTCCCACCCCCGGTGCTCAGGAAGGTTGGGGTAGGAATCGGTGTCCCTGGAAAAGCCGGGTCCCGCTGCCTCAGGTCACTGGGTCACCTCTGAAACGCGTGTAACACCGTTCCCACAAGCACCCAGCCAGGACTCTCTGAAGCACCCAGATGTGACCTTCTGGGTGCTTCACCCCTGCTGACACCCCCTGCCATGCGTCCCAGCGCAGGGCACACAGCTCCCATCGGGCATTTTGTTCTGTAATTAGCGAGGCGACCTCGGCACAGAAGGTTCTGCATCCCGGGCTGTGACGGCGACCACAGTGTCTCCCGGGAGAACCTCTGCTTTCCAGAGGAGACCACCCATGACGTCACTGCCAGCAGGAAACCACGCCCCCCCTCTGGCCGGGGCACCCACACAGGCCCCGAGGGCCACTGGGTCATTCACACGCGGGAGGCGGTGCGTGGTGAGACGTGAACAATACGCGTGTGAACGGTGACCTAGTCCAGGCGCCGTGGGTGACGCAGGCCCTGGCAGACAGGGGAGCGGGGTTCGGGGGACCGTCCCGTCAGACTGCGGTCAGCACCATCACCGTCCCTGTACTCGAACGGCACTGCTCCCAACGGCTTCGTTAGTTCGGAGAATTCACTGTCCTTCCCATCTCGTTTCTCTTCAAACCAGGTTTCCTTTCCTTTTTCAAAGGAATGAGGAAACCATCTGTCCAGATTCCCGGTGGGATGGGGAAGAGAGAGCACGTTGGAATTCACAGGCGACCTGTCCTGGACGACCCCTCTCCCACGCCCCGTAACCATGAGGTGAGTCTGAAGGGCTCCGGGAACACCCTCGGGCTGTTCTCCTTTTCATGCACGAGGGCCCCTCCTGTTCCCCCATCTCCACTCTCCCCGAGGGGTCCAAGCCTCTGCCACAGAAAAGCCAGGACAGTCACGGACGGAGGACCCAGGTGTTCAGGAGTCACAGAGCACCCGCCCCAAGGCCCGGTCCACTGGTCCCCCTGGTCCCCCTGGTCCCCGAGAAGAGCAGATGCCGATGGGGTCAGGAACGGCAGGGAGAGCCCACGCGGCGCCGCCTGCTTCCGCCCGCAGTCACGCACCGCTGCTTTCCAGGTGCTTCGCCCACAAACGCAGGGACGGCGCGTCCGCAGAGCCCCTGGAACTGGCATGGAATTCCCTTCCTTCTTTGACTCAGAGCTGAGGCGATCTGGACGGTCTGCCACCCAGATGCGGTGACACGGTGACACCAGGAAGTAGGAATGACTCCCTCTGGCCACTTTCCCTTTCAAAGGCACCTTGGAAGGGGTGGGTGGACTTTGCTGCATTCCTGCAACAAATGAGCGTCTACGTTCCCGTCAGAAATGTGAAGCATGAGGCCTGGCCGGTGTGGCGTACTTGGTGAGTGTCATCTCGTAGACCAAGGGGTCACAGGTTCCATTCCCGGTCAGGGCACGTGCCTGGGTTGCGGGTTGGGTCCCCGGTTGGGGGGTGTGTGCACTGATGTTTCTCTCCCTCTTTCTCGCCCCTTTCCCCTTTCTCTGAGAGTCAGTGAATGTGTCCTCGGGTGAGAATTCTTTTTAATGTTAAGACAACTCGAGAGCAGGCGGTCTGAGGAGGTGGAGGCTGTTATGGGGGAAAGACGCTGGGTGTGCAGGCCCCTGTGGGCCGCGGCCGCGCTGCCGACCCAACCGGCGGGCCCCCCGACAGTCCACACGTCTGCCTTGGCCGAGAGCCGCACGGCCTGCCTCCTGAGGCTAAATTGCCCCACTAATTTGCCTGCAGGAAACACACCAAAGGTTTCCTGGAAACCAGAGTCTCCACGAATGCCGAGCAAAGTGTCACTGGAAGTGACAGACCGTGCTCAGCTCCTCAGTGACCCTGGGCAGGGGCCCTCCTTCATCACTCCCCCTGCTCCTGCGCAGGAACAGAGTGAAATGTGATTTTTCAGAAAAGTCACAGGCTCAGATGCCTCATCACCCCTTCACCTCTGTGGAATCGGCAAGAGTGGGGCTCCCCTCCGCCCCCAGGGGTGCCCGGGGCAAGGGCCAGGGCCGCCCGATGTTTCGTTCGGGAACCCAGGAAGGCCGCCGCGTGGTTGGAACTGAGCCAGCCCCCTCCACGTGCCCGAGGCCCCGGGACAAGGACGAGGCAGCTTTGTGCCGTTCTGCTTTATTTAGCCAACATCTGACGCCGTGTGATCACCAGATACGGTGGCTCGGAGCTGACAGCGGGCACTGCTGTGCACGCATTTAGTCAGAAGCGAAGGGCCGGCTCTGGCCCCCAAAGAGTCGGTTCCGCAAGCCGGCTCTGCGCATCGACCCCCGCCTCCTACCCCACGCTACCTGACCCGTTTTTAAAAGTCAACAGGCTCGCAAATCTTACAACGTCGTCGTTCCAGGTGGTGCCTGGCTGGGCACCCACGTTGCTGTCTTCACAACCGCCCGGTCCCCTGTCTGACGTCCTAACTGCCTTCCAGAGAATTCCGTACCAAGTGGCAGGAGCCTGACCTCTGAGGCAGGGCCCTTCCTGGTGTGTCCCCGGGTGGGTTCAGCCCTTTCACTCCAGTTCTCCTACAGAAAGTTCACACCTGCCCTGTGACACAGTCCCGACTGCCCCCACGTGGTGTGAACACAGAGAGGCAGTGCCCGCCACCGCTCTCTCTCTTTTCCACGTCTGTCCACCTCGGGACGCCACTTTCCCGACAACATCCATCTCCTGCCTCCGCTCACGGTCCTCACCCCGTCTCCAGGTGTCCCGACAGCTGCGTCCCCACGGGAGCCCACCCTTCTCCAGACAGGCTAAGGGGCTCCTGCCCTAACTCCCAGGAGGTGGGTGATTTATTTACGCCACCTGTGCCCTGGGGGTTCCGCACGCCTGTCTTTATCGCGAACAACACGCCACTTCTCCCTTAAAAAGCCCACGCGTGCCAGAACAACGACTCGGGGGCTATCACCTTCAAGCATCCACCCCCCCTCCCGCGCCGCCCTCCCCAAGTGCGCAGATGTGATAAAACGTGTGCAGTTACCTCGTGAGCGGTTTCCTCTGTGGTGGGCGCCGAGTCCAGGGTCTGGTCTTCCTCGGTGGTCTGGGGACAGAGAGGGATGTTAGAGGAGCAGGACCACGCAAGTCACAGACGCCACATGTGAGCGCAGCAGGGCGTGGGGGTGGCTTCGAGGTCCCCTCCCCCCACCCCAATTCACTGGCACCTACAGGGAGCTTCCTGCCAGAGATGCGTCCTTCGTACAGCAGGCAGCGGTCAAGGCAGCGAGGTTTTGTAACCACGATTACAAGTGACTAAGTCACCCAAGCGTGTGTTGCTGACGAGAAAAGCCAAAGGACTCGGGTGGGGGCAGGGTTGCCGTGGGCCAGAGGATAGAGACAGAGAAGTCACGGCGAAGGTTGGCAGGGTTTCCAGGGTTCACAGGGCCCCCTGCTGAGCTCAGAGAAGGAATAAATCTGAGCTGGCTGGGTTCTGGCTCACTGAGGCAGGCCACTCAGCGTCTCCGCCGGCTGAGGTCTCGCTCGGCTGCAGCGTCCAGGCCTCTGTCTGCTGGCTGCTTCGTGACCCCGGGCAGAACGCTGGCCCCCAGGCCTCCGTTTCCCCACACAGGAAGTGAGGAGGGACAGCACCTGTGGCCTGGGGACTGGAGGGGACTCGGTGACGTAAGCCCCACAGGCCGCACCCAGCTCAGCGCCGCCGCAGGGCACTCAGCGGCTGTCACCGTGTCCTGCTGCATCTTCCTGCCCAGGAGTCGTAAGCTGCCTGTCACGGCGTCAGCTAGGAAAGGAGACTTCTGGGACCACATTCAGCCCTGCAGAACTTAAAAACAGGGCCCTTCCTTTCTCTGATGCCCGATGACGTCCCGGGGAGACAAGCCGGGCTCTGTCCTCTGAAGAAGCACTGGTCACACTGGCCATCGGACCCTGTGGGCTGGCTCAGCTCTTGCCCCCTCAGCACTTCTCCGGGGCCTGCCCTTGCCTTGGGGACCCCACTTGGGAGATGCACATTTTGCTCAGCAAAGCTCAATGGCACAACTGCCTTGCCAAGCCGGAGTCCTTGGGGACTTTGTGGCAGTCCCAGTTTTAATTAGTACACATTTCTTTGTCAACACACCTCATTAGTGGGCCCAATACGACACCCAGAGCAATTTGTAAAACCACAAAGACTTTCCCTAGACAGTGAGATGAACTTCCCGTGGTCTGGGGGCTGATTTTCATAAAGGGCAGCAGTCTTTTTCGTACAGTGAGCCTCCCGCCTGACTTGGTTCAGGTCCCTCGGAGGACGGACGAGAAAGCCAGCCCTCGGGGAGCAGCTCACGAAGGCCGGTCACGCAGCGCCAGAGCCCAGGGCAGAGGCGGCCAGCCTGGGAGCAGCAGGGCCCCAGCGGGCTGCACGTGCAGGAAGCACGCTGCTGAGCGCAGGGCCCACAGACTCCCCGAGTGCTTCGGGCGGGTTTCACGGCATTTCCCTGGGTCTCCGAGGCTGAACGCACTGTGCCTGCTTTGTCCCATATCATGACATGTGAGTCGGTTCACAGGTGTACGACACAAAACACGGGCAGCACCGGAAAGTGAAACCAGCCTCGGAGTTCCGGAACTCACGGGTGTCACGTCCGCCTGGAACTGGAAGGTCCTCAGGCCCCGACAGGGCACGGGATCGCCAGTCCAGGCCGAGGCTCCCAGGGGAAAGTGTCCCGATTTGCAGGGATCCGGGGACACAGGTGTGAGCCACTCTGCCTGGCAGACCCGCCGAGCAGGGCCCTGTTCTCGGGTCGTCCACACGCAGCCTGGTGACCGCCCAGGGTACACGGGTTTCCCTGTCTGGCTGCACACCCTCGGCCTCAGACCCGGTCACCACGGCCCTCGGAATGGGGCGGCGGGCAGCCCTGCTCTGACGCCCCTTGTGTGACACCCCCTCGGGGCCGTGGTGTGCTTTCAAAGTGTGTGTACTCGTTGTGGGTCCACAGCCGGTTGATCTGCAGAACATGTGAAACACAAGCTGCTCCCAGAGCTCGGCTCAGGGGCAGGAATATCCAGCCGAGTCCCAGGACGCAGGTTCTGAGTCTCCTTCCCTGCTCATCCCTGCCCTCTTCGGGCTCAGCCGAGGCCAGACCCTCCCTGCAGACAGGCCTCCTTCCCAGGGCCCTGACCCGGGACACACAGGGCTCAGTGGCCAGGGGGGCTTCGGCAAGCGCCAGGACACGAGAAGAGACGTCCGGCCCATCATCAATTCCATTAAAAATAAGCATGAGTTGGCCGCCCTGGTAAGTGACAGGCTCTTTCTAAGGCACTGGCTTCAAGGCCAAGGCTAACACAGCGTCGCGTAGACGCAGAAGGACAGTGAGGAGGAGCCGTGAGCCCTGGCTCCCACCTGCAGTGTCTCTCAGGCGGCCCCTCCAGCCAAACCCGCAGGCACCGCCAGCGCGGACCAGCCGCAGCTGAGCGTGCCGGCTCATCCATTCCAAACTTGCTCATCAGCGAGTCTGCCTGGCGTCCCGGCACAGAATGTAACACGGGTGGCACATGCTCTTCTAAAACAGAACCTCTCCTTCAGTTTACAATCATGTCTCGTGGCTGCAGAGTACATACTATAGAAAAGAGTAACATTTAAAACAGGAAGGACTGAATGTACGGTGCTGGGTGTGGGAAACCAGGCGACGGGAAAGCTGGGACTTCCTGGCGCTTGGGTGAGTTGTGAAACGGTCTGTTCTGGAGCCCGGTCGGAGCCGTGGTGAGCAAGCCCGAGTCTGTCTACTAACGCAGTAGGTGTCGGTGTTGTGGGGGAGCCTCGTCTTCCAGGAAAAGCGCGTGCCGGCCATCTGTAACCCAAACCGCGCAGGCCGGATTCCGGGGAGGAGTGGTCCACCTCCCCGGGAAAGCACGCACCACTCGGGGCGGCTCCCGCGCCGGGCAGCACACCCAGGGGCCCAGCCTGCTCGCTCGCTGGGGAGGGGCAGTGAGCACCGTCCCCCCTGACGTCTCTCCTCCCCCTGACCACCCTCCTTTGCAGAGCACGAACCTGGTGGGACTCCTCACGAAACGAGCCCCATTTGTTTGCCATCTCCTTTCATCCTTCACTGTGGCAAATGGAGTTTCATTTGCCCACTTGTTGAGGGGGCATCCCAGGGATGCAGGGTGGTTTGGGGGAGGGGGGACTGGGGGACACAGGTGTCAGGGAGCTCGGTCTCCATGCGTGTGCGGGAGTGTATTTACACCACACACCCTGTGTTCACACGTGTGTGATGTTTACGTGTATGTCTGCACGCGCATGTTGTGTAACATGATGTGCACACCTCTACACCTCCAATACCCAAGCCTCTGCCACACGGCTGTCAGCCTGCGACCCTGAACTCGCCGTGGCAAACACACACCACACCCACGGGAGTGGGGGTCTCCCGGGATCTGAAAAACGGTCTGTCCCCCCCCCCCCACGCTCACCTCTATTTCCATGGGCTCCACCTCTATCTTCTTCCATAGCTCCAGCAGCTGGGCAATCGGCATCTTTCAAAACTTTCCCTCTGGTCACGTCCAGACAGCAAGGAAGGAAGCGGAGGCACCAGGCAGCCCCCGGCTGGCCGGCCGGATCTCAGAGCCTGGGGGCAGAGGCCAGACCCCTCGGGCCGAGGGTCCAGGGCAGCAGGAGCCCAGGGGTGCTCACTATGGCTGCAGAGCCCGGCGTGTCCTCTCCCCGCCAGCCCGGGGCTGCTGCTTCCCGCTCGCTGGCTCGCTCGCTGTCTTGCTGAGGCTGCGGGAGGAGGAGGAGGAACTGCTGCTCAAGTATCTGGGCTGCGCCTCCGGCAGAGAGCAGCCGCCTGGCTGACGGGCAGCATTGAACCGGGTTCCCAGCCTGCCTCCCCTCCCCCCACTATTTTACCTTAATGGGCTGTAAATGGTGGGTGAAAGTTGGGTCTGAGGATGCGGCTGCCATAGAAACTGCATAGCAACCGGGGGCTGGGGGAGGGGCGGGGAGCCCCCCCTGCAGGTTCTGCCCTTCTCCCCCCACATCGTGCACCCACCAGGGTGCACACTCACGCACATGCACACACACACACCCCTTCCTTTGCTTAAGACTCTGAGCCCACACGACCACCTTCAGGTACAGGAATACGAAGGGACCGGGCGAGGAGCCAGGTGCCCAGGGGCGGCTATCGCTGCGTTAACACTAGAGCGGCCCCTGCATCCCTGCTTTGCTGCCCCCCCCCCCCGCCTCCGCCCCACCCCAGTCGGCCTGTCCACACCTAGGAGATCAGTAACGTGAAATCTAAGGAGTGGGGGACAGGGCGGGAGCCCTGGCTGAGGGTCTGCCCCCGCCCCGCCCCCGCTGCCCCGGGCTGGCCCTGAGGCAGAGCTCTGGCCTTTTCCAGCCCTGGGGCTGCGGACCTGGGCTGGGGACAGAGCAGGGAAGGGAAGTCGCTGTGGAGCCTCCCAGGTGACAGGGTCTGCCGAGGTCAGGGCCGGGCTTTGGGGAAGGAACCTTCACCGGAACGACCCAGCTACTGCGGATTCCCACCCCGTTTCACAGAGGAGAGCAGGTCAGGGCTGCCCGGGCAGGAGCTGGCCGGCAGCCAAGCCCCCAGGTGGCAGAACCGGAAACGCATCCTGTTGGGGCTGAGTCACGTGGGCACCGCCTCCCGGGTCTGGCGAGGGGGGCTGTAGGGCAGTGTTCTGGGGGGGGACTCCCATTTCTCTCTCTTCTCTCTCTCTCTCTGTCTCTGTCTCTCTCTCTTGCTCACCTCTCTCGTCTTTTTCCTCACCCCATTTCTGTCTTAGATTAAAAGTTGTGTGAAAACGCACTCATCCCCCCAGACTTCTGAGTGCTGATCTGGCACCACCTCCTGCTCCCTCCTTTGGGAAATGGCGCTGAAGCCCAACACCAGCTAATGTTGTTTCCGGAGGGCGTTCATCTCCACAGCAAGTGCCTTCAACCCGGAGAAAGACATCTAAGGAAATGGCTCGCTGCTTCCTAAAATGATCAACCCTCTGTCTTTTTCATCGTTACAAAATCACTAAGTAACCTAGTTAATTAGCAAAAAAAAAAAAACTAGCCCAAATCTCATATATTTTGTATTTCAGAGCAAAAAATATAGAGTGAGTCAGACTTAACAACAGAGGTTTCTTGTGTTGATTTAAGAATCTCTTTGTGGCCGGTAGGTGGACAAACGGCCTCAGAGCAGGGATGGTAGACCAGGAACCGAGGATCACCTGCAGAAGCTGGGCAAACAAGTTTTGCAGGGGGGAACCTCACCCCCAGGGTGACCTTCCTCCCCTAGCCTGGGGCTCAGACCCACCCCTGACCTTGCCTCCCCAGGCCTGTCGCTCACCAGGGGTTTAGACCCCCGTGGAGGAGGAGCAAGGGGCCCAAGTGTGGCCTCCTGCGAGCCTAGGGGCTGGCAGGACCACTGCCTCAGGCACGACCCGAGGGACAACGTCTGGGCCTCCCCGCGGTTCAGCTCCGGGCCGGAAAGCAGCCACACCAGACGCAGCGCCGCAGATCTCAGGACCCGGTGCACCGGCGGGTGACCCCCTGCCCTCGCGCCGCCCAATTGGTGGAGACCAGGACCCGAAAAAGACGCACCTGGAAAGAAAGCTGGTGCATATTCTGCTGAAACTATCCCCTCGGTGGGCCCCTAAAATAACCCCCACCCTGAACCTCAGGACAAAGGACCCAGCCTTTCCCCACGCCCTTCCCCCTTCTCTCCCCCACCCCCTCCCCGAAGCTCCAGAGGCCCTTCTTTTGCTGTAACCGCTTCACTCCTCCCGCCTCTGGGCCTTTCTAAACGAACTCTCTCTTACACGTGGAGTCCTGGCTCTGAGCTCCTCCCTAGCCAGTGCTCCAGGGCCAAGGCCACTGAACCGAGGCCTAATACCTGGGGCTGTTTACCACCCACACCTTTATCTTCCTACCAAATGAGGTCGGTAGGATCTTGAAAATTAGTTCCACTCAAAATAAAAACAATACCAGTACTGTTTCTTTGTTCCAAGAGGACTTTCACTGACCCACAGAGCCGAGTGCAGGGGCCGCCGTGTTGGCCGCAGTGAGGAGATAGGGCCTGATCTGATAGGTCACAGGTAGAGTAAAGGGGTTTCTGCGCGATGAAGATAGTGAAACCGTTGATATAAAAAGTGGTGCCGAGGAGGTGTCAAGACTTTTTTCGAAAACACGGAGCTCCTGGAGACAGTGGGGACAGATAAGAACTGGGCTCCTCCTTACTGATGTTCATAAAACTTCCACTTTCTGGAATTTTCCATTCGCGTTCTGAGATGGCCCTCACGGAAGGGAAACACGAGCCTTTCCTTTGGGGGTGTGACGGATGATGACCTTTACGAGACCTCCCGTGACTGGGGAGGGGCCGTGAGCTTGGCCGTGGAGCGGAACCCGGGGCTCGGGCTGGGGCCTCACTGGACTCGGTCGTCAAACACAGAAGAGCTGTGATCGGCCCTGAGCTGCGGGGCTCCCTTGGTCGGGCATCACCCGCAAGGAGGAAGTTCACGGGTTGGGGTTCCAGTCCCTGGCCAGGGCGCACCCGGTCCCGTCAGGGCGCCTGGGAGAGGCACCAGATCCATGCTTCTCTCCCTCTTTTTCTCCCTTCCTTCCCCTCTCTCTGGAAATAAATATACAAAATCTTTTTTTAAAACAAGAACTGTAATTAAAGGCATATCTTAGGAATTGCTGAAAACACAGTTCATGATTTAGCAAGAGTCTCCTTTTAAACTATGCAGATGTCAGACCGCCGAAGGGCTGACCGTGAGCCCCCGTTGCGCAGGTGAGCAAGGCCCCGGGGACACGGAGGTGCTGGACGAGGGGGGCACGCGGTGTCTGCACTCGGGGCTCTGTGTCCTCGTGTCCTCGGCCAGCGCGCTCTGCGTGGTGCCTCGTACACACCCAAGGTCGCCATCGAACAGCCAGCAGCCCCCTTGGAGCCGTTCCCTCTCCCTCGGTTTTTAAACGTGCGGCACTTCCGTGGGCCTGACCGGCTAAGACGCGGCCCCAGGCGTGCTGGGCAGACGGGGCGAGGACATGCGAGCAGGCTGCCTAGGGAACCAAAACCCCGAGTGAAGTAAACGACTTTCAGAAACGACCCAGAAACATGTGCACGGCCTTCAAAGATGCGTCAGGAGCCCTGGTCGGGCGGGTCCGTGGGTTGGAGTGTCGTCCAGCACGGCAAAGGGTGCAGGTTCGATTCCCAGTCAGGACACATGCCTGAGTTGCAGGTTCAATCCCTGGTTGGGGCACATACAGGGGCAACCAAGCTGTTTCTCTCTCACATCGGTGCGGCTCTTTTTCTCTCCCTTCCTCCGTCTCTAAAACCAACAAACATGTCCTTGGGTGAGGATTTAAAAAAATAACCATAAAATAAAATACAGTAGCACCAGGAAACACAAACAATGAGAGGACACTTGTTCTGAAAGGACATAAGGGTTATGCCTGAGAACCCAAGGGCTCCGACTCCGTGCAGAGAACCGAAGAGACCGAGGCTGCCGAGGAAGGGGCGCGTCCCTCAAAACTCTGGGGGCCTGGAGTACCGTCTCCGCAGGAGCCGCACCTCGCAGAGCTGCTTCCCAGGAACCCGCCACATGAGCACCAGCTTCCAAGGAGCTCCCTGCTGGGGACGGTCCTTCAGGAGGCAAACCTGCCGACCAGCTGCCGGGGGACGGTCTCAAGGGCCCCTGGTCTCAAGGCCACCGTGGGAGGAGATGCGTGACTTCAGTCTGGCCCCCGGTACAAATTGTCACTCTCCCAAGTGAAGGGAGGTCTGGGGACCCCGAGTGCTCGCTGTCCCACACCCTGAAACGAGTGCGGGAGACAGCCACCCACCCCGTGGGCTCCGACAACCAGAGGGAAAGCTCCGTCGCCCCCCGAACAGAGGTGACACTGCAGTCCTCGGACCCGGGCCCGCTTCTGCCACGGACACCTGGCGCCTCTGAAGTCCGTCCCCTCGGCATGGCAGACAGAGCGGCGGTGCTGACGTCCCACCAGTGACATGACAATAAGACAGTGGGGAAGAGGGTTCCCGATCCGAGAGGGGGCGCTTGGTGCTCAGTGACAAAAAGGGGTTGACGTCCGTGCTGTGGCAGACACTTTCCAATCACCGAGAGGCTCGCCCTGGGCTGTCCACTCGGGGGGTGGGAGGCCTGGGTGCCTTGGGGAGGGACGAGCATCTTCTGTCTCCAGCAAGGCGAGTGCTCCCCGGTGCTTCGCAGGACTCCCCAAACCTCAAAACCGAATTCTCTGTGATTTAAACGAAAGGGAGTGCTATCCGTTGTTATAGGCTGAATTATGGCCCCCCTGCAAATTTTTTTTTTGTGCATTGACATTCTAAGCCCACAACGTCCCTGTGTGACCTTATTTAAAGTAGGGTCTTCATAGCCATCGTTTCTTCAGATGAAGTAGCTCTGGAGGCGGGTGGCCCCCATCCAAGATGACCGGTGTCCTTATAGGAGGCGGGTGTGACACAAACCCACAGTGTCTGTGCCTCATGGAGACTGCAGTGAGGCCACCGGGAGCCCACGAGCAGCCTGAGCCTGGGGAGGAGCCCAAAACCACAAGGGACCGCAGCCTCCAGAGCTGAGACAACGCATTTCTGCCAGGTAAGACACCCGGCTCGAGGGCCCTGTGATGCCAGCTGAGCTTCCACTCCCCAGGGAGGGTGAGGAGGGTCCAGACAGTAACCAGAAAGCACTGCCACGGTACCACTGCACCACGGTCAGGAGCCAAGGTCCAGGTGAGACCCACCTCCCCG